CCCACTGCTTCTTTGATTAGACAAATGGACGAAGTTTGGTAATGTCTTAGAGATGTTGTGTATAGTATTCCCAGAGGACACAGAGCTGTACTCCCCCAGCATGGGATCAGAGCACCTTTGTTCTCAGTCAACGCACAGACTGAATCAGGACTGCACGTACTGGCCAAGTATTGTCCCAAGAGAAAGGTTGTTGTTCACTCCACATTCTCTGATCAATTTATGCAACTCCAATAAGCCACTGCTTTGGACAGTGATTCTCTTACTCTGTCTAAAGGAAGATCAGTCTGGTAGATGTATTTATGCCAAAAGGAGAATAATGAGTTTAATCTCTCCTTCCCACTACCACTTCCATCTAACACATACAATGCAAGTTTGTAAGACAGGTCCCTTTCTTTTTAATCAAAGTAAATGTAACCTTGTTAAATCATTCATTTGATAAGAAAAAATCTCAGTCTTAATTGTATTTCCCAAGGCAGTACAAGTCTAAGAGGTACCTGGTTGATGGTGCTTGGAAGGTAGAAGAAGGACCTCCAGCCTCTTGTCCATTATGCTTCCCATGGACATCCTCATTATCAAAGCCCACAGTGTCTAAAAGGCCAGAGGGTCCTTGCTCTGGACTGCATGTATAAAGTAGGAATCTTTGCCAAGGTAAAAAGCAATTTGGCATCCCTAGATTCATCATGTGGCCATCCCTTTCCATGTCTTGCTTCCCCAAGGCATCAACATTTTTAAGTGGCAGGACATTCTTGCTTCTTCTACTCCAGTTCTTACCTATTTTCCAACTTGTTTTATAGTCTTAAAATATCATTCCTTCTCCCTTTTAAATATCCTTGTTTCTTTCAAAGTTACTCCCTTTGCCTCAAAGGCAATAATCACGTCTTCAATAAACTCAACCTTTGCAGGCAAAAAACATTTAACAAAATTGTCCAGTATCTAACGTTAAGTAAAAATTAGCATGCCACAAAACTGTCGATGCCAATGAAAAATTTTCATGTAAAACTTATATACAAATTTTCATACTGAAAATAAAAACTAGAAAAAAATACATTGAGAGGCAAAGACCAGTAGCATAGGAAAGTGGAAGATATAACAGGAACACAGAAGAAGAAGCACTAACTCGACCTGAGGAGGTTATGGAGTGGCCTGGTTGTGGTTTCGACACCATGCTCAGTCACTGGCTGGAAGCATGCCTGAGGAGCATGTGACTCAGCTTTAACTCTGCAGAAGATCCAAAGGTATGGCCGATGGAGACAGCCATACAACAGACGTCTTTACTGTCGGTTCTCCTAGGATCTAAACAATGCACCTTCACTGCCTTCTACAGTCCACCCCTTGCTTGCACTGCATAGATCCACACATCTACACATGTTCAGGAGCAGCTCCTTTATGGTTCTGTGGACTTCTCCAACCGAGTGGAAATTTAAAAGAGGGAAGTTCGTGGGATGAAGTATAGCACACATTGCTGCAGTTGGTCTCAGGGCCACAAAAGGACTCACCTTTCCCCTCCTCTACTATTTGTTCTAAATTCCTCTCTAAGTCAACCATGACCTCTGCAGGTTGGGGATTTACCAAGTATGTGACCCAAACCCTCATTCTTGAACGGTCTGGGCCCTTAGTAGTAGTACCCTTCTTAGGGCATGGTTGCTGCATGTGCTACAATGACAGTTGATGTGGGAGTTACAATTGGCATGAGTAGTTACAGTTGCTGTGGGAGAACCAAGAGATGCCCAATTGGATCTCCAAGTAAGGAAATTTTTGTTTGCTCAATCTTATTTGTGGTTCCCTTGATCGAGCACCTCTAAATTCCAATCCCAGGCATATTGCCTTGTCTCCTGTAGTGTATTCTTGCAGCTCTTTTGGTATATAATCTTCCCTGTCTTATCAGGTTCATTCCATCTCCAACCAAGCTATGCTGGGATTCAATCTAAGTATAGGCCTGGCCGGCAGGAAAAGAGATGGAGGTAAATGTTCCAAGGAGTCACCTGTAGACTTGCAGGGGTGAGAAGTGTGTATGCTCTTTTCATACTGGGGAAGCTCAAGCTCTTATTAGGGGCCCTCATTAAGTCTGGGTTCCAAGCCAAATTTCTTAGGGTATCAGCCCCCAGTTTCAGTGATACCCGGTTTTCCCAACCAGTGCCCCGACCTTAGCATAACAGATATTTTGAGACTGAGCATTTAAATTTCCCTGGAGCTCTGCAATTCTAGCTATTGAGGTCTGAGCTTGCTCCTCAGCAGTGCTCACTCTTCCACTGCAAGAAATAAGGGCCAAGAGGCCTGGCAGTTCTCACACAGATTCTTTAAAGTTTTTAACTACCCTCATTTTTTTTTCATGATCCTTCTGCTAAGCATCAGTGCAACTTATTCATAACCAGCAACTCTCTACCCTTTCAGATAACATTCCAGCTACATTTTTCGAATGCCTGAATCATCTCATCAACAAGGTTATTCCTCTCCAGCAGGACTTCTCACCAGATCAACACTGGGGAAAGTTTTAGCCATTGGCCTGTCACCTTGTGCCAGGAGTTTCCATGCCCCATAGTCAATGGGATGGAGTCCTTTTTGCCAGCTGGGTAGTGGGCGTGAGCCAGTTCTCAAGCCCCATTTTACAGCCTGCTTTCTTGGGCTATTGCTAATATCGCTGATATAATTCTCCAGGAAGATGGCAGAATTGAATTAGGCATGCAAGAGATTTATTGGGAGAAAATTCTTGCAAAAATAAAACAGGTAGCAGGGAAGGAGTGGGCAGAGAAAGCAATGATAAGGGCATTCTGGGACAGGTACTGTGAGGGGCCCTGCCCTGGCTGTGGAGGAAGTTCTCCAATTAAACCTCCTTCTGCTTTCTGGGAAGAACTCCCTCCTCCATGAATTTCCATGGACATTGACTTGATTCTCGATTAAGGTCTTTTTTTGACTATGACCTCCCATATCACATGTGAAATGACTACTAGGGATGATGCCTTTCCTGCGTGATAGCTTTTCTACAAGTTCGGGAGCCCAGAATTTGTTACTTAAACTGTCACAAACTTTTGCAAAATAGGCTCACGATTTCTTTGGCAACACGCTTCCCTAAAAATACTTAATAAGTTCTAGAAGTATTTGTTTCATTATCCATAAGTTCTTTTCTGGACATAACATATATGTTTATATTGTCTCCTTGCTCTCTTGCCCTATGCCTCTCTCTTACCTTCATCGGCCTCCACTGAGGTCAGCTGAATATAGGCTTCCCTGAGAAGTCCATATTTCAATTCACTCTTTCGCAGCAGGGCTGGGTCCTTTTGTTTGACTGAAAAGTCTTACGGGAGACATTTAAGCAACAAAAGTTTTCTCTCCCACTATTTGAGGTACAGAAGCTTTTCCAAAACTGCAAGGCCTTAAATTCTTTTAACTTCTGCTAGAAAACCTATCAATTCTTGACAAAGTTCTTATTTTTTTCATTTTTTACCTTGCTAAAAGTACCAAGGAGCAGCCACCAGAGGAAATTTTTACTAATGCTTCCCGTAAAGCTTCAGGCCTATTAAGCACTCACCCTGCCTTCCAATTTATCATAGGCAATTGACTTACTGAAAATTTTCCCACAACATCCAAGGATTCCAGGTTTCAAGCTTAACTGCTAATCCAATGCCACGGAATCTGATTTCCAGGTACCAATTCAAGGTAATAGTAAGGCTGATCTAAATTGTTGACAAAAGAATAAAAACAATTAAGTGACTTAAGGACAATGGAAGTTTCTCATGAAAAATTCTAGTGAGGGAGTTTCAGGTCAATTGCCGATTGATAGTAGCTCTACCATCTCAACATCTGACTTCCAAAGTGGCTCTGAGTATCAACATTTCAAGCCTAAAGAACATGGAGGCACACATGTAGAAGTCTAAAACAGGCATGTGTTACTTCTGTTCACATCACAGTTGGGGGAATTTTGTCATGTGAGATAATTCTAAGGGGCTTGGGAATGTACTGTTACAATCATAGCTAGCTACAATTCTGTTAGTATGAAAAAAGGTGAGAATGGATTCCAATTGACAGTTAACTCTAACCTTTCTTCTGAGTGTCAGGTATTTCAAATTGTTTCTTCTAAAACTCAACATGTCTAGAACAGAACTCATTATTTCCTCCCATATTCAGCTCTTCATCTTGCCTTTTCTATATCTCTCAATGGCATTGTCATTCTTCTAGTTATCCCCTCTCAACATATTGGAGTGATTGTTGGATCTTTCCTGTCTCTCATTACCCATATCTATCTGGTTGCCAAAAAATGATTTTTTTCTCCTTGGTTGGTGCCCTCCACATCTGTCTCCTCTTGCTGTCTTCATATCACCAATTAGGTCAGTCAGTCTTCATTACTACTTACCTCAACTATTGTGGTGACCTCCTGAGTTATCTGCACAGTTCCAAATGTTCCCCCATTTTCCATAGAACCTTATAAATTAATCTTCCTAAAGCATATCTCTGAACTATCATTTTTATGTTTGATGGTTCCTCAGAGCCTACACAAAATTAAATACAAATTAGCTTGTTATCCAATCTGTATAGTCTTATCTTCCACAATGATGGCTTTTCCAGCAAACTTTCCAAAAAGGATTAGCTGCCAACCCCCAAATACATACTGTTTTCCCACTTTCTAGCTTTTGCTAACTCAGTTATACAGTTTGAAACTCACTTTCCCCTTATTTCTAGGAATAGAATAGGATTTAACACAGGTTATAGAGACCTGATTTCTAATCTCAGCCCCACCTCTTGATAGCTCAGCCCCCGCCCCCACCGCGCTTAAGTCATTTAATATCTCTGAGCCCTGTTTCATCTTTTCTACAACAAGGATAAAAACACCCACTTCACAGGGCTGTTATCAGGAATAAATACAATAATTTAAATAATGTATCTACATAGTATAATCAGTGTTCATAAAAGTCAATTTGTTTTCTTCTATCTACTGAATTTTTGCCTATTTTAACTCACTTCCTCCATTAAGCTATCATATTATGTCACAGTATTGCTACTCTTGCCGCATATACATTCTCAAATATCAATGAACTTGTGAGGTTGGTCTTGCTCTCTTATATCTTTGTTAGTGTTCCAGATAAGCATGTTCCAGGTGGTCTGTTAATTCAAGTTGACCAAGAGACACAAGACGTACTAGTAGTACGTACGTACTAATGAGCACAATCTATATCATAGAACCAAGCCAAGATTGTGGTCTAGCCAAACATCATCCTATCTAATAAAAGAGTAATATGCAAATTAACCCTCACTTTGTCATAAATATGGTGGCGGCCATGGAGCTGGAGTGAGGCTTAGGTTGCCCCAGCAATGGAGGAAGCCAAGCTTCCCGCCTGCCCTGCCAGCCCTGAGCTCTGCTCAAGGCTACAAAGTTTCAATTATAGAAGATAAATAAATCCCAGATACCTGCTTCCAGCCCACTGCCATGGCCAACCTACAAACGGCCATCAGCCCCTCACCCAGGCTGGCCACACTCCCATGGGGTGAGGGTCCCCACTGGGGGGCTTGACCAGCCTGCAAACAGCCATCAGCCCCTCACCCAAGCTGGCCGGGCACCCTAGTGGGACTCCAACCTTGATCCGGGACATCCTTCAGGGCAAGCCAGTCAGCCCCCATCTGTGCACCAGTCCCCTATCTACACTAATAAAAGAGAAAAATGGTAATTGGCGTACGACGCTACCCTTTTCATTGGCTAATCAGGGCTATATGCAAATTAACTGCCAACTCAGATTGCAGTTAACTGACAAAAAGATGGCGGTTAATTTGCAT